TACATCAGCTGGATCCGATGTTTTACGTCTTGTGAAGTCTAACCAGGGCGTGATATTCTGGACTTGGCAGAGACTCTTCACATATGTGACCACAGAACTCATCAGTGTTTATACGTATCTTAAATGTAATTTTAAGCAGGCGAGGATTAAATGTCYTCAACAACACCTTTCTGTCATTTCTTCTGCTGCGCAGCAGGTGAGTTGGCCAGGTCAAATTAGTGGCCTCAAACAGGAAGCAGGATGGATAGAGAGGTAGATTGATGGGAGAGCACCAGTAGTTTTTTTTTTTTTTTTGGGGGGGGGGGGGAGGTGATAAAGACAGAGCATGAGAGGAAGCACAGCCAAAAAGTCAGAAATCCAACACAGTGGAGAGACAAACTCAGGCAAGTCCTAAGCACTGTCTAACACATTTCTGCAGCATATGTTAAATKAAGTAGATGTTGAGATATAGACAAAAAGTCATAAACTGTGTCATTTCTGACTCACAATGTTCTGTTTTTAGCAGAAATCAGAGATAAACAGAGTTTATGTAAACCCCAAACAACATTTAACATGAAATTTGTGAGCCATGGTTGAGTCATACGAAAATTACATCAAATCTATCTGACAAGTGGTTTCAGGGCAACGTTTCAAAAAGTGTTTGACAGGACAAACTGTAACCAAAACCTGTTTTTTTTTTCGATTCTGATATGATTCCAGCCAGAAGAAAAGATGAGTTAAAAATTGTATTCAGACAAATGCTTTCAAGAAGCCATATTGTGCTTTTAAATTCTTCATTTCCYCATTTAAATCATTCAGTTGGGGTCTATATGAATAAAGTCTGAATTTCTCCTTATTGTAGCTCCACATGCCCCTCTTTCACCCCTTTTCTGAAGTGTGTTTCAACTCGTTTTGATGCTGTCTCTTTAAATCCAAATGAGATGCTTCTCACTCTTTGCCCCCTCAAGCTTTCTGATTAGTCTATTCCAGTTTGATAGAGGGGTTTACGACTATATAGTGGTGCAGAAATGTTTTATTTACAAACTAATTAAAAGGTGTCAACAAGACTTGTCCATCCAGCCTTACGAGCTAGAGTCTGACCCAGAGCCAAAGGAGAATGAAGACGAGGAAATTGTAGTTGTTGGTAAATCCAGACCTTATTTGGCAGTTCTGTCACAAATAAAATAAATGCAACAGTTCAGAAAACGTCATAAAAAAGAAAAAACTTAACGAAGTAGAAAGATACGACCCAAACAGAATTTAAAGACATCTTTGCAGCAGAGAGAGACTAAATTCTGAGACTCCAAGTACACCACAAAATGTATTTAAAAAGTGGATTTTGCAGGATGTCCCCTTTAAGGTTACACAGTTCTGAAAATCTAGTACCAGAACTGTTGGTAGTTTGCACCTGTAGTGTAATGTTTTATACAGAGCTGAGAACTTGTCATTTTTAAAACAAATTAACCACAACCAGGGGGGAAAAGAATCAATTAGTTAACTCCAGCTCAACAAGAACTATATTTATTATGGCTTTTTTAAAAATGCAGTTTTATCTGTGGTCTGTGTGCAGCCAGACTGAAGACAGTGACCTCTGACCCAGATGGGGATGAGATTAGTCAAGGCTGTAGGAGGGCTTAAGTCTTCCAGGCCGAGCTCAACTGCAAAGAGACAAAACGGCAAGCGCACACCTACGTGCGCGTCGCAGCGTCCACGTAACACAGCAGCTGGAGACACTTGTTTATGCTGCAACGCTTTTAACGGCTCCTCTTTCACGTCGGTTCAAACGAGCACACTACTGGACTGCGAGTGCGGAGGCCTCTGGGAGTTACGTCCACACAGAAGATCTACTTACTGCACAGCTTCTCCCTCGCTGCCACATAAGCACCTCTTGAGGTTTATTTTACGAGCAGATTGTAAAACACTTTGCCTGGTTCAGACTAATGCCTGCAAGGTTATTCTGCTGYGGAGTAACAATGTCACCCTGCCTTTAAACTGCACTTGGTAATACAGAGACGAGATTACAGATTTGCAAATTTACTATTTTTGGTGAGTAGATGGAGTGAGCTGTGGGCGTGTGTGCATTAAACAGCCATTATCAGTGGAGTGTTTCTGAATACGGAAAGATAAAGCTTACTTAAAGAWCTGACAAGACTCCTTATCTTGGGAAGTATGTTATAATTTCTATTACTTTTTCACTATTTAAAAACATGGCTTTCCTCTAGAACAGGGGTTCTTAACCTTTTTGACCTCGGGGCCCAATTTGTTGAACATAAAGTGGCACGAGGCCCAGTCAGACATTACCAATGTATGGATCAAAATGATAATTATTCTAATCTAAATCTTGGTTTTATTTTTATTGTATTTACATCATAACTAAACTATCATAATTAATGTAACTAAATTAAAT